TCACTGTTGAGTTTTGAGAAAATTAAAGGATTTTAAGTGCGCCTTATAGTCTGAAAAATACGGTAATTCATTTTCCTGAGTTGTTCAAATAATTCACCTTGAATCCAACTTGAGTTAATATATAAATATATAAAAAACAACACATTGTGTGTGTGTGTACGTGTTTGTATCATATTTATTTTTATATTAAACTGCAGAAAATATTAAACGAGGGACAGAAAAACAAGACAGCTTCATATTTTTACAACACTGAGCTGGAGAGGATCATTATTTTGGAAAAAAATGTGCAAATCTTTAAAAATAAAACACCCTGTTTTAGCTAAAATACACATCAGACGAGCAAAGATGGTTGGATGCGTTTGAGTAAAAGAGATTTTTGTGTTTTTGCAGGATGACCAGGTGGTTCTGCAGTGCACCGCCTCGGTCCTGAAGGAGCAGCAGATCAAACTGTGTCTGTCCTGCGAGGGCTTCGGGAACCGGCTCTGCTTCTTGGAAACCACGTCCAACGCTCAGGTCAGACCCCCCCACACACACACACACACCCGTTCGCTCTGAGCCTCGGCTCGTCTTCCTCACCTGAGTGCCTTTGCTTCGCCTGCAGAATGTGCCGCCCGACCTGGCCATCTGCACCTTCATCCTGGAGCAGTCCCTGTCGGTCCGAGCTCTGGTGGAGATGCTGGCAAACACCGTGGAGATGACCGAGGTGAGAGGCGCTGCAGGAAACAGGAAGTGACCTCCACAGGCCGAATGATTTGTTAGAAAGAGACGTCAACATGCAGAAAATGAACACCATCAGCTGCTTGTCAGAATTAAACTCTGCCCTCCACGAGGAGCTTTACCTTAAACACAGAGGAGCAAAATAATTCATGCTCTGAAATGATGTCACTACTTTAGAGAAACTAATTAAATGTCAGCGTTGAACACCCTGCACTGTAGAGCTATGAGCTAACTGCTAATACATCTATTCAGTGCGGACCTTAAATTTTGTGTTTCAGCCAAAAAAGACCGAATTGTGAATCAAAAGGAAAATGTTCTGATTTTGTTGCTCAGCATCAAATTATTTTATTTTGAAGAGATACAGATAAATTATTTCATGCACCTCCAGAAATCCACCAAACTAAAGTAGATGTATGCAGATTGAGCCACTAATTCATTTATTTTTGACTATTTGGACACTTTTTTTTAAACAAGGCACGTAGTTGTGTCTGCATCTTTAAAGGTTTTAAAATTGAAGGAAAACTGAAAAACGAGCACACTTTTTGGGGTAAATTGGTCTTTAGTTTTATTGTGCAGCTCGTCTCGTCACCTTTTAGTAATTTAGCTCTATTTTTATGTTTTTAATTCTTCATATCTGACATGCCCCTCCTGTTTTTGCTTCCTGCCAAGCAGGCGGTCGATTTGGACCAATGGGTACGTCTGTCTTTTACTTCCTGTGGCGCCTGTCCTGTTCCTGTTTCCTGAAGTTGTTGTGTTGTTTGGTCTTCTTGGCTGTCGGTGGTCGTCTCCTTCATCTTTGTGTGAATTTTAGTTACTGAGGTGTTTTTTATTTTTATGCTAGTCAGTTATCTGTAAGTTAATATTCTGAACATTTAATATTTAACTGGTAACATTACAGGAGTTTTATTTCATAATTTGTTTTGCTAATAAATACAACCCATTGTGTTTTTTTCATCTCGTGCAGAAATATCAGCAGCCCATTTTTATTATTTTTTTTAATTTGCTCAGTGTTTTGTTTGGTTTTCCACTTCTTATTCCTGACAAGTTTTTATAAAATGTGGCTTTAAACTTCTAAATGTGACTTTAGGTAAACAAATGTTATTGTATCTGTAAAAAAAACCCACAGCTGTTAAACAGTGCTTGAAATGAGCCAGTTCTGGTACTCAGCATCACCAACTTTAGGCTACAGCCGAGCCGTATAAACTACATTACCCACAAGACATCGGTTGAAAACAGGAGGTCATGGCTCGCTTTACTTTGCCTCTGATCAGGTCACATAAAGGGGATCAGGTGACTTGAGGAATCATGATTAAAAGTGAAGCAGAAGGGGCCAATCAGAGGCACAGCTGGGCGATTGCTGGGAACTTTATTCGGGCTACTGAAGTCCGTCTGCACACAGAGGAAGATCATTCCTGTAAGGAAACAGTAAATCTGATGCTTCTCAAAGTCTTGGCCGTGAAAGAAGAGGACGTCTAACATCAGAGTGGAGCAGCACGTCCAGGTTCAACTTCTTTGCAAAGCTCCGCCCCTTTTTGGAGAAACCAAAATAACATCTACAGCATAAAAAAAACCCTGCTTAAATTAATACCACCACAGCATTTGTCTGAAGCTTCAAGGTGCCTAAATATCAAAGCCAATCAAGAAAAGGATTATTTATTGCCACTGTTTATTCACAATCACCAGCATTCTTTAGAAAAGCATGAAAAATGTGGTCTAATTACACAGACCTCCATTCGTTGGTCCAATAAACTGGATCCTTGGAAAGTTAGAAACCTTAAATTAAAGTGATGAGATGTTATCTCTTTTGAAGCACTATATTTAGAGGAGAACTTTGATTTTCAGTTAATTATGAGCATGAACAAAACCATGAGAACGAATAGGAACTGTACTACAACCCATTGATCAGTCATTGTAAAAAAAAAAAAAAGAAGAATTGGTTTAAATACTTACACAATACTAAGGACTAGATGTATTTTTTTGAACATACAGTATTATTCCATTTTCATTCATTCCTTTATTTTTGACACATTATTTCTTGTCAGCCACATGGGGGTGCTGTAGTTGACTTCTCCAGTTCCCACAGCCTCCAGTACTGAAAATGTACTAAAGCAGATAAAAGTATCCACACAGAAGAGATTCAGGTATAAGCATTCTTCCTGTGTTGTGCATTTCTTTAATTAAAAGTGTCACGGAGCTCACAGGAGCTCGTCGATGTTCCTAATGATAAACAGGATTGGAATAGCCTGACAGGCAGCCAGCTCTGGAGAAACTGGACACCTGCTCCTGAACCTCCACTCTTAATGCACAAGCACATGGGAAATCCCCCTGAACAGAACCACCTGTCCCAACTCAACAGGTGTTAATGCAGAGCTGAGTTAATGGTATCATGAAGCCACTTTACATACCTGACCCTGAATCATCACAGCAGATTAAAGAGACACAGAAAGCTTTACTCTTGACTTCCTGTTTGTTTGAGTTGATCCATCGTCAGCTGCCACTATAATGATTGTCATTCTTTTTCTTGTTCCCTTATGGATGTTGAGAAAAGGTAGGATGCTTAATGTCGTTTCATCAATCACACATTTCAGATTGTTCTCTGTGAAAATAATGTTGAAGAAAACTTTTATGTGGTATTCTGTTTTTTTCTTTTCTTTATTCTGTAAACATACTTCAAGTGAAGTTTTGAACATTTTAAAGTTGGATTTATGAATTTTTTCGTTCAACCTTTATTTATACATTTAGTCTCATTGAGACATGAGGACTCATTTACAAGAGAGACCTGTTTTAAACAGACACCATATAAAGTGCGGACAATAAATAAGATTGTGACTAATTATCTTACCTGTTGTAGATGTCTCTCTGAACAGGTTCAGGTTGTAAAAATACTTTGACAAGACTGACGAGCTAATGGCTAGTCCAAACCCAGCTGTGGTCAAAGTGTCTTAAAAACAACACTAATTTCTAAAGTCTTAGATCGATCCATACAAAGTCTGTTTTATAAAGCTTAACATCAATATCAGTTTTGCCTTACATGGTCATTTACATAAAAAATCTGATGTTATTTGCATGCACAGATTTCTGCAGCAGCAGCCAGCGGTAGCACTCCCAGCAGGAATTTCACAATGTTCTAATTTGTGTAGTGCAACACAGGCAGAGGTGTAAAGGTTGTTTTTTTAAAAACATTTGCATTAAATATCAAGTTTTGAAGTTGTTTTGAAACAATCCTTTTTTCAAGACAGCCTGAACGAATCCACTTCATTTAAAATCAACACTTATTTTAAAAATGTCATTGTTTTATGCAAACACTCTTATTGAAAATGTTAGTGTTGTATTACA